TGTATATACTCACTCGTGTCTGTTTCCTTGTGGTGTAGATCCCTACACACGACGTTACAATATCATTGTTTTATATGTATTCTTTAAATTATTTGTCTGAGCGCAAGTCATGAGAAAATTGACATTTAAAATGGGAGATGATCATTCTATTAAAGTAGTGAATTGATACTGTTGAACAATAGTAATAACTGTGAGTTCTTTTGATCATGTACATGAGAAAATCTAGAGGAATTTGTAATAACGTTACGTATTACTTCAAGAGGTTTTAGATTTGTCTGCATCTTAGTATCGCTTTGCTTCTGCATTCTTTAGGGGAATATTGTTGATTGCAATACTATAAGAAATAAGATATGCTGATGAGCCTGTGCTGGTTTGGAAATGGAACGGTTATAAGTAAATTTCACACACAACTAATTCAAGTATAAAAGTTTAGGACAAGAAGATATGTCCGGATTCAGAATGCCGGTTCTGTTTCTGGATGAAATTTAAAAACGCAATTGTCGGAGGTTATACGATCACCTGAGAACATGTAACAGTGAGCCAAAATTGAAACTAGAAATAGATGATTCACTAAGAATGGTCATCAGTGAAAATAACTAATTTGGATGGTAGTGGTGTGTGTTTTCAGTCGAAATCGAAGTAATCAGATTTTGCACAGCAAGAAAACTGCAATTTCGTATGAATATCGACAACCAAATGCACGACGAATATGGAACAAGAATTTTAAAAACTAGTTCTCAAAAGGAGCAGTTCAACAAGTACACTCGCGAACAAACGAGGAGAAACGTAACAAAACACCCGACGAGGTGCGAGGTGTCTGTGGCCGGTAGGGCTAGGAGGTGGGAGCGAAAGCGTGAAGTTGAGAACGAGGCCATAAGTGAGGGGGGGGGAGAGAGAGAGAGAGAGAGAGAGAAAGGACGAGAGGGTGAGAGCGAGGTCGTGTGTGTGTGTGAGAGAGAGACAGAGAGAGAGTGAGGGAGAAAGTGAGATCATGTGTATGTAAGAGAGAGAGAGAGAGAGAGGGGGTGTGAGAGTGAGGGCGAGACGGTGAGAGCAAAGGCGTGTGAAAGAGCGAGGGCCCGAGGAAGAGGGCGAGGTCGTGAAAGTGAGGGCGTGAGAGTGAGAGCAAGGTGCGACGACGAAAGCGAGAGCGAGGTCGTGAGAGTGAGCGGTGGCGTGAGGGAAAGAGCGAGGGCATATGTGTGTATGAGAGAGGGCATGAGGGTGAGAGCAAGGTTGTGTGTGAGAGAGGGCGGGAGGGTGAGAGCGAGAACTTGAGAATGAGAGGGTGGGAAGGTGAGAGCGAGAAAGTGATACTGAGAGCGAGAGTGTGAGGGCGAGGGCGAGAGCGAGAGTGTGAGGGCGAGAGAGAGCCAGAATGAGAGCGAGGTCCTGAGGGTGACAGCGAGGGCTCGATGCTGAGAGCGAAAGCCTGCAGGGCGAGAGCGCGGACGTGATACGCGGGCGGGGCGTTTGGAAGTGGGAGGGCGACGGGCATAAAACAAGTGCGCGGGTCCACTCGGCCTCTTTTAATTCCGCGCGCGCCGCCGCCGCCGTGTGGCCTTATTGCCGGGCGCCGCCGTCGTAACTCGGCGCCAACATGGCCGCGCCACCTGTGGTGGGGGAGGGGGGTGCGGCCCCGATAATACCCGCGTGAACGGGGGAGGGGGAAGGGAGGGGTCCGCGGGTGACGCGTATCTTACTAAATTAAATTATTGATTACGCGTCCTCGGCTGGCTGCCCTTCGGTCCCCGATCTCTGCGCCGACGAATTTGAGTCGTCGGGAAGTAATGGGGAGCGCGAACGCGATTCGCGCCAAATTGGCTTCCTCTTTGGAGCTGAATGAAGCGGTTTGAATTGCAGGGCGCTCGGTTGTGAGATTACGGGGTTTGGAAGGGCAAAGTGGCAGGTATCTGTCTGCTGTTAATTCTTGTCATTAATACGCAAATAAATATTCAAATGGTTCATTAATGTCATTGTAGTTTTTATTAAAATATTTAAATTTGTATAATATGTTACATTAATAGGTGTGTGTAAACTATCAAATAAATTTGTTTAAGTTACTTTCTGTCATATGTAGTATAGAGAAAGTGTGCTGATTACGAACGCGCTTCGCGGAAAATTGAT